CCTTTCGCAGGCTGAATAAAGAAACCCACCCCCCGGGCCGAGAGAGGCACAGACGCAGACCCCACGTGGGTCTGCAGCCTCGGGACTCTAGAAACGCACACGGGGCAAAATGACCGAGAGCCACGAGGAAATGGCTGTAGGTAGATGCCGGTATCGCCCAGAAGTTGAGGACGTTTCGTGCTTTTGCAAAGCATCTGCAATTCTTGGATGCCAGCCGTCGCAAAACGCTGAGCACGATGATAATGGTGTGTACCTGCCAAAGCAAACCTCTTCCCTTGAAGGGCTATGGTCATTTTCCCTGCTGAATGCTGAACAAGTGGAGGCAAGCTCATCAGATAAAAGGCGCGTTTACCGAGATAAGGTAACAGCAGAACTCCAGCACAGAGCCTCTGCTGTCGCTTCGGAGAGTCCTGATCCGCTCCACGTCGGGAGGAATCTGGGGTCGGGAGGTATTACGTGAGAGCACAAAGAGGTTTTACGTGGGAGATGGAGACAGGCCTTTCAAGGCTCACGGCCAGCTGAAGGTGCGTGTCGTTACCAGGAGGAATCCTAAGGGAAGTCTGAGCCTCGCGGAAATCTGCTAGCCGTAGATGTAAGGTTTGTAAAGAACAAAAAACCTCTTTACAAGATCCCAGCTGCGTCTCCAGCACAAACAACGCAGCACTGCACAAATGACACAGGGCTCCCCCAGAGCAGATGCTTAGGTTGTCCCACTCAACATGGTCCTCTCGGCATTTTGCGTCTGAGCCCGCAAACCTGGTGTTTATGGCCGTGATCCCACCGCGGAGGAGAGGGCTTACGGACTGAAAACGAAGTGCTGAGTATAAATGGGGGCAGGATCACAGCTCCGGGCTGTGGACTTCTCGAAGCGGAGACTGTCTTCCATACAGGCACTGAACAAATTCAGCAATAACCATCAGAAAAAAGTGGAAGTGATGTGTTTGTCCCTTCCTGCAGTCCAGGGGAAAGTAACCAGCATAAATAAATGGGTACTGAATCAGATGGTTCATTCTCTCTCTGCCCTGAAGACCCAAGCTGTTATTTTCCCGACAAAGGGTGAAAAAAATACATACAATTTTTAATCTGTCCCGTCACTGACCCTCTGTCCAAGGCAACAGAAATAATTGGAGCTTGCTGCAGCTTATTGCTAATGAAAAATGAGGGTTGGGGCCAACCTGCTCTGCGTTTTAAGTTCAGACCCCAAGCGTACGTGGACAGTTTCATGCCCATGAATTGTCTGACTCCTGCATGCTCTTTCAGATATTCGGTACATTCCTGCAGTGGGTGGTGAGCTACAGATCAGGGTCAGAGGTAATCCCCAATTATTTAGCCCTTTTACTGTTCTTGTGCTTGCCAAACAATTCTCCATATCAGGATTTACTCATGACCTTAAGGGACGTTGCCAAGGATTTAGGAGTCCCCCTAAAAAGAGGATCCAAATGAAGTTATTACATTCTTGGGCATCAAGTGAGATTGCTGGAGAGTTGAATTACATTTTCCTGGGGATCAGTTTTCATAAGCTAGGGCTGATGCAATCATCAATTTGCCGTCTCGATTTTGTTTGCTGAATTATTTCTACGTGGAGGGTTCCTTTACAACGTACGACTAAGGCAGCAGCAAAATGTTTAAAAAGGCTTCATTTTCTAAAGCCATTTGTCGAGCAGCAGGTCTCCTGAACGCTTGTTTCAGAAGGGCTGAGAGTCACAGGACAGCGGCAGCTCGTGTCCAAGGGGGATTTGCAGTTATTTACAGACGCAATAAAAGGCGGGGGTTTGGGGGTTGGTTTGAAGGTGTGCTGAAGGCGGGCTGGGGGGGGTCGAGCTCCTGGACCTGCCCCCTTCCCCGCGACTCTCCCCTTCTGACCACAGTGATTTTGGGGGGAAACGTTCCAAAAATCCCCGGCACCGACGTCTGATCGGAGCCTATGTGGGCAGCACTGGGAGTTAACAGATGGGTTGTGGATTCAAGCATACGATAAGGTTACTGAGGGTGGTTTTGTTTTAAAATGTCTCTTACTTAATATATCCATGAAGGCCAGGCATGTGCCTGTGGCCTGTAATCAAATCGCTGACTCTCCCTCTCTCTCATTTCCAGCAATCTCGTTTCAGGTTACTGGCACCGGAGGTGAAAGAACAGCCATGTCTTGGCCCAGCAGCCGAGGCTGGACGCTGAGGTTATGCCGTGCGGGAGGCGCTGCACGGACGCGGTCAGCCCTCAGCATCTGACGGACAACCTCAAGGCCTCGATAATTAATACACACTACTTTTTGCCGAAATAAAAGTTTCTGCGGGAGCCAAACTGCCTCTAAGAGAGTGGGGGAGCGGGGTGCACTCCTCGCCCAGCCTTTGCTCAGTAAACGTGGTGGCTCTTCTTCCGAGACAGGCACATCTCCAGCCACGGCACCAGCCGCTGGGATGGACATGAAAGTCCTCGGTGGGCAGCAGGGTGCTGTCAGCTACGCAGGACGGTACCTCCATCGAACACCCACCGCCTTACTGCAGCCTGAGGTCTGCGGTACTTAAGCATCTTGGTCAGCGTAGGATGTATCGAGTGCTCAGGATCAGCAGCTCCCAGGAGACCTGCACATCTAATTTCCCAACCGTACTAAGGCATGCGCAGGAGAACCCGCACCCATCAGCTGAAGGAAGGATCCCGAAAGGGGCACGGTGTGACTTAACAGCGTAGGCTCTGAGGAACGGTTTGTCACCCACCCGGGCTCTGCCTCGTCCTTCTGGTAGCCTGCAGGTAGTTGCAAAAGCTTGAATTTAGCGTGAAGTCTGGTGGCTTCAGCTCTGTGTGTGACTCACCGCTATCTCCATAGCACAGCTGGCTGGCCACGCTCGCTGCCACGATGAAAGGAATCGTCCACACGTTAGAATAAGTCAAAATTTAATATTGCGAGTACGTGCACTGATCGCTGCTTAATTGCATTGGTTTAGGCTACCAGGGACTCTCCCAAAACACTGGGAAAACCTAGCGAAAGCTGTTGTCTCTGTGGAGTCCTGGGCAAGCGAAGGGCCCTCCCCCCGGCACTACCCTGGATCGCTGCCGGGCACGTGAGAGCTGCGGGAATGATGCTGGCACCGCTCAGTGAAACTTGCCCGAGGACTATTCCAATGAAAGCCATTCCCCTCTTTGCGCAGAGATGTTTGCCAGCACCCAGTGTGGCAGTGGGAGGAATATGTAGGTGGAAACTATTTGGAAGTGGCAAAATTTGTGGACGTTACAATTCATAATAAGAGACTTTAGCCCACTTCGATACTCTGTTTTAATAAAACATGCCGGCTTCCCGGTGACATCCTGCCCTGCCTCGCGCGGCCAGCCAAACCCAGGCAGCCAAGGAGCTCACGCTGTTTAACCAGTTCCCCGCTGGCTGGTTGCACCATCTCGTGAGAAAGATCTCCAGGGGTGCACACCCGTGCACACCCATGCACACCCCTTCAGCTGCGCGCCCGGCTGCAGCTCGACCCTGCTAGCACGAGCAGAGCCCTGAACCTCGGTCTGCACATGGCGTAAGAGCGATTTCAAAGGCGACGTCACCTGTCCCCTGCTGCTGTGCCCGGGCTGTGTGGCCTCTGCAGAGCTCAGGTGGGGCAGGGGACGGCGAGGGGTCACCCACCCCATTTGGAGATGGCAGGGAGCCAGCCGTGGGCAGGACGGCTGGGCTGCCCACCCATCCTGCTCAGGAGCAGGAGTTGCTTCTCCTCCCGAGTGACAGAGTTGTCTGGTGGATGCTTTGCACAATGGTATCTGATCACATTCCTCCTTCTGCCTAACATCAAACAGTGAGTCAGCGATGAAGCCTCATCAGATGTCTCTCTGCTTCGGCTTTCATATCTGAAAAGCAGAAAGGACGGTGCTCTGCAAGTATGCAAAGCAAAGAAAGTAGGGTGCCTTTAGATCTATGACTGAGAAAATACCACACCTTTTAACTACAGCATTATTTATTTTTCGCTGGCGTCCATATACCCCAGCGGGAATCAATACCACCGGGGCTCCTAGTCTAGGGAGATTTTGTTCTTTCTGGGGGATGCAGGTAACAACAGCTACAGGGCCAAACTACATTATGTCTGAGTTAAATATTAACATAAAAAGTATTCTGAACTTGCTAACTGGATTTAAAAACCAGCGGGAATCAATACCACCGGGGCTCCTAGTCTAGGGAGATTTTGTTCTTTCTGGGGGATGCAGGTAACAACAGCTACAGGGCCAAACTACATTATGTCTGAGTTAAATATTAACATAAAAAGTATTCTGAACTTGCTAACTGGATTTAAAAAATTACACACACTCCCAAAAAAAAAAAAAATAAAGCCAGAACAGGCAGAAGAAGAGAGCGGGAGTGTGTTCCTCCTACAGTTCATGTCAGGACACGGGTGAGTTAAACCTTGACCTCTGAACCTGAGCCTGCTGGACAAGGTCTGTGCGATCTGCCTGCTCATGGTGTATAAGGTGCCTGTTGATCAGTTCAGGGGGACTTGGTTCAAACCGTAAATACCACTAGCAGCAGCGGCAGAGCGAAGGCTCTTTGTCAGGGCTCGTGGCAGAGGTGAAGAGCGCAGCAGTTCGGCGCGGGAAGCTGGCTGGGACAAAACCTGGCAGAGGGCTCAAGCAGGGCCATGGGGAACCCAGCTGGACTTCTGCAGGGACACCAGCAGCTCCCGTGGCTGGAGATAAGGGAGAACAAGCCCATATACTGCGTGTGGACTTGCTTAGCCCAGCCTGGTCTTTGTAGGCTTGTATGAGCATACGGGACCAAGCACCTGCTTGCGAGGGAGCGGGATGCCCCCATGGCTGGCTGAGGGCTGCGGTTGCCCTGATTAACGGGGGGCTGCTTAATGGCTGACAACATTGAGAGTGGAAAAGGGCTCATTGGCACTCGTAACTCGCTAGTAGTTAACGAACGTTTGACCCCTTTGAATAAATGCGATGCAAAGAAAACGCAGGCGGTAGGGGAAATGCAGGTGCATGGGCTCCTTCATAACAGGCCAGACAAACCATACACTTGAGATTGCTTCCCAGTCATGCAGACATAAAAAACACTTGGATGTGACTATCATTAAGCTCTGGGGTAGTCCGGAGCAGTCGTGGGAGAATGTAACCAGTCATTTTCTAAGTAAGAAGCCAAACCTCTGCATCCAGATCCACCTTCTCCCAAACCCCCAGTCTGATCCCATGTGCATCGCAAGCCAGATGTGGCTTGGGCATTACTCCTGCTGCAAATTCAGCTGAAATAAGCACAAACAGGAATTAAATGGAATAGGAAATATTCACGGTGGATTTGTACCTAATCAAGATTACACACAGTTTTGCTGACTGCGTTCCTCCGGTGTGAAACAGGACCACTCCGCACCGCACGGCAGCCCTGATGCCATGCTGCAGTCGGGCTCCTCACCTAAACAGCACCTGGAGGGGAACGTGCCCATATTTACGTAGAAAATACAGCCCACTGGGACAGAGGAAAAGGCAAAGTACACCCAAGGCATCCCTACGAGAAGTACTAGTTGACAGGAATGTCTCTCATAGTGCCCTTCCCTCTGTATCAGAAGTGATCTGGCTGAGAAGTCCTGGAGCAAACCACAACTGAGGGTGTTGCTGTCTTCCCCAAATACTTTCTCAAATGAGGTTTTTAAATAGTTTTGCCCTGCCTACACTGGCAGCCAGAGCACTTTCATCTCCAGGTGAATGGGAACCGAGGTGGGACTCTGCTGTCTGCTGGGGAGGATCATTTCCATATTGCAGCCGAGGCGGCGAGGCTGGCAGGCAAAACCCGCGCGATGGCAGGGAAGTGCTCGTTCTCTTCTCGGAGATGCCTGCTGATCGTGGCGCAAATATTAACCGCATGCATCAGTGTTTGAAATGCAAAGAGCACTCTGGCGGTGTGGGTTCGCAGGAGAGGAGGTGCGTTTCGGTTACACCTTCACGCCGATGAGAACTGCGCATCAGTCAGCAGGTAGCCGCTGCAAAAATGATGTTTATTAACAGGCTACAGGACTCAATTTGTTGCAAGCTGTACCTACGGTGCTCTGAGTAACAACACACCTTTCATTCTTAGGTGGCAAAGATCATGCCTATCCTAGAGGTTCTTTGGTGGGTGCGGAAGTACTTTCCATGTAAATGCATCTCGCCCCCTTCTCCTCCCCTGCACTGGCTGCCGGCGGAGCAGCACTGACGTGCAGCCTCAGAGGCGAGCACTCGCCCACCCTCTCGCACACAGCTGAAGAGGAGTCCGAGACTTGCCTTGTACCTCCGCGGGTTCATCTCCCACGGGGATGCCAGAGTACGTACAGCGTTGGCCTCACACAACCGCTTTGTGGGGCTGAGTATGGGATCTGAGAGGTCAGACAGTGCTTTGAGCATTTTTTTCCAAGGGAAAAAGAATAATTTCATCACAAAATATTTGCGTGGCCTATATCCCAATAGTCTGGGGAAATATAAATGGCCACACAAGCTCATTACAACTGTCCCTTCTGATTTTATAAACTGTACGTCTGTATAATGAAAATGAAGTCCCAGCCCTGAAGAGCTGCGAACATCTGCAGCTGCTGCCCAGATGTGGTTGCCCGGAGCCTCTGCAAAGGTTTCAGGGGTAAACCCCCATCTGCCTCGCACGTAATGCCAAAACAGAGGATAGAGGTTTTGTTTTATAAACCTCGACCAAGGAGACATTAGGTGCCTTTGATCTCCAGATATAAAAATGATCTTTTGATTTAAGATTATGAAAATGAATAACCATCTGCTAAGAAACAGCTAAGGACCCACGTTTTATTGAGGCCATATGGTGTCCAGGGCTTCTACGTATGAATTCAATTAGCTGCTTGTGTCTGCGTCAGTAATTCTGTATCCACCCAGTCATGTTTTTGGAACAAGTATTATAATATTCCCATGGATCCTCCAGACAGTGGGAGGTGTTTCCTTCACTGTGAAGGTTTTGGGAAGTGATGACTTTGTCTCATTTTCATCTTACCCTACTCTGCATTTCTAGTCCCTCACTTCTCAAGGCTTGGAGCTTTCCCCGGGATCTCTGAGCCGGCTGCGGTGCTGAGTAAAGACAGCCCCGACTCCAGTTTCCCCATCGGGGCTCACATTTTGGCTTTCCTTATCACCCTCAGGGGAACCCGTCCCGTCCACCTCTCCTACACTGGGACCGAGTTTGCGGTGTTTTTGAGAACATAACCCATTTCCAACCTAAGCCAGACCTACTCCAGTCTCCTTTCCATGGTGCTCACCAGGAGTTTACGCAGGGCTCGGCTGTGCCGAGAGCAAGGTATCTGTTCCTACCCCCTTGCAACCTGGAAGGGTGGCGTGATGTAAAGATACAGTCCTTTTAATAGGGTGCAGAAGGGTGGGAATGACCAGATGCCTGACTGGCCACCAGCCCTGGCAGACGGGCGGCTTGCCGGCCCGGGAAGCCAGGCTGTGCAGAACCCAATTAGCTACTATGATCTTTCAACTCCAAGAATCTGGAAGTCCCCTT